CTAAAGCCACGCGAGATAAATCAAACTCCAATAGGCTAAGTGGTCGCGCCTGACGTTAACCAGACTACCACTCCGTTGTACCCCCTCTATATGTATACCTTTTTCTCTCTCTCTCTCTCTGCCCCAGCCGGGAGTCCGTCGCGCTAATGAAATTCTACTCAATTCTTCCCGGGCGCCTGGAAACCTCGCGGTGTTTTACGTGGAAGCATCAGGTGAACCGATCGGACGTACCTACCCCTTGATTTATACGCCAGCAGTGGGCCACGGTATTACATACACCTCGTAAATCCTCCCCCGAATTTTACTGCGCAGGTTAATCCACGTAACTGTGGCACAGCCCCGGCACACTGATTGCGGCCCAAATTAACTCTGTCGGCTAGCCCTCCAGGAGTTTCTCTCTCGACAACACATCCTTCCGCCCTCGTATTGTACAAACCATTTTATTATACTGCACACGCTTCTGATCGGTACGATGAGAAATGCCCGATTGAATTTCGCCGGAGAATTGTATATACTATAAAAAAAGAAAAGAAAAGAAAAGACGAAAGTGGCAGCGAATCGAAGCGACAAATTGATAACCCGAGCACCCGGTGCCACCGAGGTCTACTGCAACTTTCACGCCCACTGCAGTTGCTGGCGCTGCTCGGCCAGAGTGTCCTAATACGAATGAAACTTTGATGGGAGGAGCCGTAACGCCGCCGGCTGCGGTTCTCGTCTATACGCACAGCTTCCCATTTATATATGGGCGGCCGCGACGTGTCGTTCGAGGAGCCGTAAAAAGTTTTCTCGGGCGAGGGTATGAATGCTGCACGAGTCGCGCCGAGCTTTTCACTTTAAAACTTTTGTCGAGCCGGGAGGAGAGAAAAAATCCGGTGGGGTCCCGCGGGGATGATTCCTTCCCTCGTTTTATCGCCGGGCGGGTCTTTTCACGCCGCGTGCAACGAGGAAACGCCACCGTGGGCCAATTTAATGGGCAGCGGCGGGTGACCGGGTGAGGCACAAGTCCGCGCTCAATAATTGATCGGGCGAGTTGGCGGGGCCAGCCTAATCAGTTAGGACCACTGCGAGTGTGCAGCGCACCCCTGTTCCCACCGCTCGGGCCGAGAGTCTCGCGGGAATCATTGGGAACGTGTGCGTGGCGGGGAACCTTGATTGGAATTTCAAAGGCAGTGTGTGTGTGTGTGTACGTATACATATAACCTGCGAGAGAGCAAGTGTCACGGCTGCCACTTGGCCTTAATATTTTATTGCGCCACTTGACAAAAACGTTTTATACATCGTCGATCCGGGACTCTCTCTCTCTCTCTCTCGCTCTCTATCAAATCAGCCACGCGACCCTCCATCGGCAATTTCAATTTCACGTGCACGCAACACGGGTCCTTCCGAACAAGAGCACATAATATGTATGTGCGGGGGACACCGTTTCCACGGGTCTCCGTGTCAATGATGCGAGAGTCGGCCTAGCCTCGCTCCACTTGGAAGGAGATTAAATGTGATGAAAAGCCGCGGCGGGAAAATTTTGCGGCACTTGAAAACTGCGTCTAATTTAGACGACTATACGACGAGAATAGGCTGGTACAGCACAGCAGTGTAATAATATTATAAACAGCAGTAGCAGAGGTAGTCATTTGGTACTCCGCGGGTATAATAGTTGTCCGCTCCTCCTCACGGCCAAGTCGAGGGAGCTAAATGAGCTGCAGGTATAAAGCGCTAATGGAGCCAAATGAAAATTACAAGCTGGCTTTTCTCATTATTTTTCAAGGTGCCGGTGATGCGCGAAACATCACCTCGGAGGAGAAAAGAAGAAGCTATCGGCCCCGCCGAGGCGCAGTAAAGGCGTATAATATCTTTCTCTCGAGGCGTGAATAAAAAATGATTCGCTCCTCCTCTGTCACCACGTCTTCTTCTTCTTTCTCCGCAAAGAGGATTCTCCTCTCTATCGATTTTTCTGTTTGTTTTTCTTCTCCTCTTTGCTCTATTGTTCCCTTTTCAAAGCGCACCCGTTTTGTTTTTTTCCGGATGTATCCGACACTTTTCTCTCCGTTGCTCTGGCTCCGTTTGCCATTCGAGTGGCTGTATAGCCTCACCCCTCTGTACAAGCAAGACATCTATCTCGGCTCTCGTTCTCTCTCTCCCCCTCCCCCCTGCCGTAAAGAGCAGCGTGAATTATTAGTGCCCTGGTGAAAACCAGCCCCATCGTCGTCGTCGACGCACTTGTCGTAGTAGTGCAGTATATATAGTCTAGGGTATAAGTGACGCCGGGACATAACTGACACCTAAATTGATCCTTGATCGCGACACGTACCCGAATTTCCCTTCGACTCGGCAATCCTTTCATTCTTTATTTCCTTCTCTTACCTCCCCCCCATAGTCAGATATAGACACAACTCCCGCTGTTATACACCCTTCGATTTGCGCGAGCTGCTTTTTTTTTTTTTTTCCTTGAGGTATAAGTCTGCTTCGCCAAAGTGCATCGTATATTTTTATCATCCAAGATGCCGCACGTTTTTCCCTTTTTCCTGCTTAAAATAAATTATTTGCAAACTTGGTTAGACTATTTTTCGTGACGCGTGGAATATCAACTTTTTTTTCTTTACATCTATACTCGGTCAAGTAATCGAAATCTGAATGAGCTTCAATTAAATAGATAACTATAGATAACTCTATTTCCTTATTTTATTCATAAAAGAAATCGTTTTTTGGTTGTTTTTTTTTTCTTCTGTAACTTTATGAATTAACATTAATACGATTTATATTGAGATTTAAAAGAAATTCGTTGATCTCGTTTGAATAAAAAATTTGTTTTTCCATACTGCGATGTACATTTTACATAACAGACGTATCTATCTTTATGCACTATCGTAGTGATTTTGCGTAATTGGGTATATCTAGAGAATCGTATGAAAAAAAAATGAAGTAACGAGAAGAATGTTCACCGTTTGTAGGTATATATACTTTTCATGGCGGGCTACGTATACAGAAACGTATATATATAATATGTGTGTGTGTATATGTATACAACATAGGCAGTACCTATTAGTCAGCAAGCAGCGTAGTATTTTTCGTTTCAACCCGAGTCAGTGAAAATAATATGGAGAGCATGCACTGCACGAGAGATGATAGCAAAGAAAACAAATGGTAATAATACCGGGGCTGATACGCGCGAGGCGCTCGAGTTTTGCAATTTTCTCATAGCGGCAGATTGTTGCCGTTGTTGTTTTGTTACCGCAACCCTGCATGCATACTATACACAACCCGTACAAGATTCATGATTACACGTGCATCAATGTAGCTGCTGAAGCTGCAGCTCTACTTGCATACGTACATCACCCATGTATTAAGCGTATTACCTTGCGTGGGTGTACATATATATATATACATATACCATAGGGAAGAGAATAGGTGAGGTAGGGGGTACCTATACACACCTATAAACGAGCTTTGCTTTGGTTCTTCCATACAACGTGTTCCGCTGGCTCGCGTTTCTCATTGTTCGCGCTTAAGTGGATTGGCAATCGAAAACAACAGCGACTCGTGAGCGGAGTACCAAACGCAATATTCAATCACTTAGGCCTCCCTCATTAGCCACGATTTTTCTCGGTTACTCTCCTGCGTGGTTTATTCATTTTTACTATTTTCTGTTTTCCTTTCTTTTTTTTTTTTTTTTTTTTCTTCCCTCGACTCGATTGCACAACCAGCCTCGTTCTGACCATACTTTTTTATTTGTTTTTCTTTCTCTATCATTTCGGTATGCCCATTAACAAAAGATGAGCACCGTTAATTGCAAGCGGTATGTTTTTTTTTTTTTTTTGGATTCATCATCGATAATGCAAAATCAGATTTTTCCAGCTTTGGAGCAAGAGAAGGCTAAACGCAGTAGACTCGCGACTATACCCAAAGTTATAAATTCAGCGACGAAATTAGAGTCGCGCTTGAGCGGCAAAATAAATCAGAGGCCGTCTACGTGCGACAAATTGCCCGATCGATTCGTGCCCTCTTTGAATCGACGAGAATAAACACAATCACGTGAAACGCCGTTGAAGGATCGAGAAGCTAAGTGTACCAACGAAGATTAAAATTAATTTCCACCAGAGATTCGAAAGAACGAAGGGTGGGGAGGAAGAAACAACCGAGATGACAACTCGCCGGCCAAGCGAGGTCGGGCACACACGTGACAAATAATAAATGACGCGATGAGCCGAGCTCGCGCGGACGAGGAAATAGCCGCGGGGAAAAAAACAGCGGGGTCAAATTGATACAAACGAGAGCCTAACGAGGCCAGGGGCTTGACCGGCTGATTGAATTGCCCCGGTACGGGGATCACTGGGCACCATTTTACCGAGCTTGCAAGCTCCGCTGGGCGATAATTAAGTCCTCCTGGTAGTCGTTGGCGCTGTAGCCCCGTCCGATGCGCCAGCACGAAAGAGAGAGAGGACGATATCGGGGGGGAGCAAAGGAGCTGCGGATGTGTGCACGCCAGCTATTGTATAAATAATAGAGGAGGCCGGCCGCGGGGGGAGGCGCAGCAGTTATATCCCAGAGCATAGCCCGATCAGCGGCCCCGTGTTCCGCTCGAGCGCTAAATACGTATCAATTTGCGGCCGGCCAATGGGAGGCCGTTGGGGGCGTGCCCGGGCGCTCGCCCATTGGATCGGAGGAGGCGATACCGCGAGAGGGGGCCGCGCTCTGCTCTCCGTCGACGACGCGTGTGCCCGCCCGCTCCTCCTCTGCTGACGGCTCGTATCGGGGCCTAAAGCAGCACTCGAGCGCGAGCCAGCGGACCGCGTGCAGCTGTCCCGAGTACCGCGCGCGCGTGTGTATATACATAATTATATATATCCTGTAGTGCATCGTTATCATTGTAGTAAAAAGAAGGGAGAATTAAAGAGCAAGGAGATCGCGAGCAGCAATGAAAAAGTGTCGAGTGCCGCGGTTGTCGTTTTCGTCATCGTCGTCGTTGTAGACGCAACGATAGCATCGAGCCAATCGAGTCTTGGGGGATGTCGTCGGGGAGAGGCGGCGAGGGCAGCAGCGAGCCGGACGAGGCCGCGGAGGAGATCAACGTCGACTCGGACTCGCGCAGCTGCCCGGGTAGTCCAAGTTGCCCCTCGCCCCCTCCAGTCAAGGAGCTGCTGCTGCGCAGCGAGCCGCCCACGAGCTACACCCGCGCCAGCCACCCCTTCAGCATAAGCCGGCTCCTGGAGCAGCAGCCGCCCAGCCAGCCCGCCCCGGAGGAAGAGTCGGCCCAACGTGCCCCCAGCTGGACGGGCTGCTGGACAGCTGCCGATGGGCACGAGGCGGAGCGCTGCTCCGACAGGGACGACGACGACACGGGCAGCACTCCGGAGCAACAGCACCAGCAACCACAGTCCAGCCAACTCCAGGCAGCGGACCTGCTTGCGCCGTTCAGGCTCTTCCCGGGTGCCTCGGGACTGTTGTACTCGAACGGGGTGATACGGGTGCCAGCGCACAGGCCACCCGGAGGCGCCCAGGGACTCATGCCACCCTGGGCGACGGGAACTCTCGGTCCTCTGGGATCTGCCAGCCAACAGCAGCAACAAGCGGCGGCGGCCGCTGCCGCGGCGGCCAGCGCGGGACTGCACACCGCCAGGTTTCTGGCCAACCTTGCCGCCCACCCGCTCCAGGTGCACCCGCACCTCAAGGACCGACTAGCCGGTAAGTGTCACTAGGTGTATACACAGCGTGTGCGCACCCCGGTGGTTGTGACCGTATACTGTGTTTTGTTTGGATCTCCGTAATAAAAAATAAAATAAAATTGGGATCGACAGCACGTAAGCGATCGGTACTCGCACCCCTTTGTTTCCAGCCCACGCGCAACGTAACCCGCAATTAAGACCTACTTTGCGCGTGGGTGCGGGTATCACGGAGGTGTTGTAAATGGGTGCGTGTTACATGCGTGGGCCAATACTGGAGTGACAGCGGAGTGGGGGACGGGCACGAGGTATCAAGGGGTTTCGTTGACAACGATGTCGATTGAACGCTTATACATATACCTATGTATATATAAGCAGTTACGGGCAATTGATTCGAGTGAATATTAGTAAGTACAGGGGCGGAGGGGGTAGTAATTGTTACCGATGAAAAGGCGCGCGAGAAGTACTCGTACTGCAGGCACTTTGTCGGGGGGGGGGGGGGGGAATGAGGGCGAAGAATGAGTTATACTGTGTATAAGTAATACATACACAAGATGAGCGTAAAGCGCTATTGCCTTTCGAGGAAAAGGGGACCTGGCCATTATTGGCCGATATGCGCACCGTACCGCGCTCGTTTCCCGGTAAACGTTGGCGGTGCTCCGAGAGCACGTTATACATTATATACATGTATACATTATACCTACACACCTATTTGTTGCGTTACACATTATGTACAGGTGGAGGTTGGGCATGTATATATATATATATGGCGCGCAGGGGGGTTTGCTCATTATATATCCCTCTTTTCTTCTCGAGCGAGCTCGTGTGCGTGCGTATATTGTACGGAGGCGAGAAGAGCCGGGTAGCTTCCAGCTCTTTGGAATGAGTTTCTGTATAACATCTGATAAACATATAATAACAGAGCAACAGAGCATGGTGTATACATAAGTACCCGCGACCGAGAAATCAGCAGAGCCTTCGGAGGATCAATAAGCGCAGGTAGCTTTGAAATACAAATTCTTTCCTATTTTTTGTTTTGCTCGCGCTTGCGCGCCCATGCATGTGTTGGTGCGTGCGTTGTTATTATGGTTATGTATACTTATTATTTGTACTTCACGCCCCTCCCGGGCCTCGGTCCCCGGATTCTCGGAGCCATAGGCGGCACTTTGCATTCATTTGGGGCCGAAGACGAGAGGAGGTGGAGGGAGCGAAACGTCGTCGAGTGTACGCGGAGGCAGTGCGCGGCCATGGGGCTCTCCCGAAAAATATACGGATCGAGGAGCCAGGAGGATCGATACAGCCTCACGGAGGGGGTAGCGAGAGAGAGCGCCTCGGGCCCGAGATAACCGGGTACCGAGAACGGGGGAGAAAAAATCATCGCGTGACCGAAACCTGAAGAAGAGAGGCCCCTGCACGGTGCAACGGCAGTACCTGTGTATACGGCTCATCTGCCGCCCGGTACACAACCAACACAGCTATACTCCATATGTTGTACAGCCTCTTCGCGTGTAAAGCAATCAAAGTACTTTTTTTTTTTTTTTTTTTTTTCCATTAGTTGACTGGTGCAGGATATTCCGAGCAAATCCAGTTATACTTATTCTCGCGATCCATCTAATCCACCTCGGTTTCTTCTCATTATCGCCACTCGCGATCGGTGTGCACGCATCATATGCACATCACATGCATATACATGCCATGGTACGCGCGTAGAGTTGCCAAGAAGTAGTGTTTCCCACGCCAACTACGCACGAACCTCGGGGAGGCCTGCCGGTTAATTCCGACGATGAGCCGCAAGTGCCTCCGCAGAGGTGAAAGAGTGAGAGAGAGCCCGGCCACGTGTTATACGTCTGCCCTCGCGCGGCTGTACATGAATAATATTTTCCTGCACGCGCGGAAAACATTTTCCGTCTCTGCTGCACATGTATATTACAAATGCACACGTATAATATATAGCTGTTATGTGTATTTATGTATAATATACCTACGCACTCCCGAAAGATCTTTAATTTCAAATTTCCGCGTCTAGCGAAAATGTTGGATACGTGCGCGAGCACTTGATGGATAAAATAAAGTTTGTACGGCAATGTGCACTGGCTTTGGTTTACAAATTCTCTTACGTGTATACATATTATATGTATACAAATGGTATGCTTGTACAAGTGCAACGGTACGGCCATCCCGTATTGCCCATCAAGATGGCGATTGGACATTTTCAAAGTATGTGTGTGTATTTTATGGATGGGGATTGTTTCGATGGTTGGTGAAACGATCGGCAGTCGGAGGCACCGAGACGAGGATCTACGGACAATTTGCCGAGCCGGCGAAGCGTGGTGTATGTACATATATATATATATAGATACAACGAGTAGGAACGGAAAAAAAAAGTATGAAGAAAGGTGTCGAGGGAAGGCGCTGCGCGTTGTACTGGATATCCGATAATTAATAACGAAGGAGCAACAGCAGCGGCTGGAAGAACCGAGCGCTGGAAGTAATTAATCCGGGCGGCTGGGAGCCCACCGGAATCCCCGTGTGTGTGTGTGTGTGTAAAGGTTAATACACGTAGGCGCGTTATGCGCGTTGACTGATCAAGTTAACACCGAGTTCGGGTGAAGGGGGGGGGGGTGGGATTTAGGCGGTGCACAGGCAAGCAAACAACTCGGTCGTCCATCATCGGGCCGCCCGGTTGGCTGTACTTACCACCTGTATCCACACGTAGGCACACGTACACGTAGCGCGCCCAAGTTAAATAATTAACGCGACTTCGCTTTAATTTTCCTCGAGATGATTGCCTCCGTAAGCCCTCCCGGCTGTACCACTGTCTGGCCCGATGTGTAATAAACCGACCGCACGTCCGCTGCTGTGCTGATACATTATGAAATTTCCTTTTCAACGCCTGCAGTACCTATATATACGTAAACGCGCACATAATGTATTGCTGGTGGCACAGAGCTCATTGGACGTGCGTCCTCAATCCGTGCGGGTAACTCGGAAATTGTCGGGGTGAAAAACAAACCTTTTTTGTTTACTCCAGCATACAATTTTTATGGGAGACAGGAAACAACCGGAAGGGCGTTGGTCTTTGACCCCACTGGTTGACTGTTATCGCTCATCTTGACTTTGCAGCTCCGATAAAAAAAAAAAAAAAAAAAAAAAAAAAAAAAAAAAAAAAAAAAAAAAAAAAAAAAAAAAAAAAAAAAAAAAAGCTTAAATACATCAGGAGTATATTATGGCGAGAGCAAGTCCCCGGGAATACCATTTCGCGTCGGAGCTCTTTCGTTATAGAGACATCGAGGTAAAAGATACACGCGTAAGGCATTGATTATTGAAGGTGCGCGGCGNCCTGCACTAATGAACTTTGCGCTAGAAAACAGACACGTCCGTTTTCATGGATCATTTTACAGAACTCTCAAGCGAAATGAATTTCGAATAAGCTGAAAAATGTTGGGATTGAATAAATTCTTCAATTTTAGATGTGCAAAAATAAGGTTTGTAGCGTGATTAACGGATGTCGGAAAAAAAGATAGAGAATTTGAAGACAAAATGAGGGGATGAACGATGATTTTTATTTAAAGAGTCGAATAAAAGTGGGGGTATTTTTTTTTAAATTTTATTACTCATTTGCAAGCGCAAGGAAAGTAAAACTTATGCGTGTGTTTCAGTGGCCGGAACGTTTCCACGGCGCATCGGGCACCCGTACCAAAACAGAACACCACCGAAGCGAAAGAAGCCGCGCACGAGCTTCACGCGGCTCCAGATAGCCGAGCTGGAGAAGCGCTTCCACAAGCAAAAGTACCTGGCCTCGGCCGAACGCGCGGCCCTGGCCAAGTCGCTCAAGATGACGGACGCCCAAGTCAAAACGTGGTTCCAAAACCGACGGACAAAGTGGAGGTAATGACACATACACTTTTCTTTGACAAAATGTTCATGCGCACCGATAGCTGTCCTAACATCTGAAGAAAAAAAAAAAAAAAAAAAAAAAAAAAAAAAAAAAAAAAACCGCTCGATAAAAGCAAAGAGCTCGAACAATTACGAGAAAACGAATAAAAATCCGCGAGTTCTAGGAATCCGGCTTTTATTTAAAAGGCTACAATGTAACTATATGTACATCACTTGCGTTAACTCACGCGTTGTAGTTTTCCATGAAGTGCAATAAAAGAAAAAGTGTAAGTACAGGTACGCCGGCGACGGTCGGTTGGTGCAATGTTCGACATTGCACCGAAAGGGTAAAGGTACCTATGTGTAATCAAGTACTTGTAACGTTTAATTTTAACGCTAACTTTACCAATGCCGCGAATAAAATGTTCTTGTCATGTATACTGTAAGCTTTCGAATTCCCAGATACACCCATCGAGTTATCAATTTCCTTTTTCTTGTTTAAATTAATCGAGAGCTGCTATTAATTATCCGATGGCGCGTACAGATATCAGCGCATAAAGTAATATAGCAAAACCCATGCGGATTGTATTAATTCATAAGACGAGCGCTATCGCCACGAATTACCATATACATATACACGTTAGAATGGATCCCTCTCTCAGGAGGAGGAGAGCAAAACTCTTCGATCAAGCCGGACGATAAATAATGTGAACGTGACGGCTGTCCAGATAAGCCGGGAGAAATCTTGTACACTTACACCCTGAAATGCCAAATGATTTTCAAAGTCTTCTTTACTCGTACAAATCACGTCGGAGATAGTAGTTATAGGTACTAATAAGGATTTCCGTACTTTTCAATTAGAGCAATTTTCGTTTCATTTGTGCCGTGTGGGTTTTGATTTTTTTTTTTTTTTTTTTTTTTTTTTCCCAAT